TGTGAAGTGGGGACCATATGTCCAAAACATGAGGTTGTGTGACGACTGGCTGTTATATCACCAGGCCCAGGGCTCGGAAACGTGACCTCTTCCTGTCCCCCGAGGCCGCCCTGTGATCACGGAGCAGCGGCCAGCACGCCGCCCCGGGGCCTGTTAACTCAGCTCGTCCCGAGACCAGGCACGCGCTGTGCCCACCTGAGCGGATAGAAAAGGCTTTTAATTGTTTTAAAAAAATCAAATACTTTCTATTGAATTTAATATTTACGTGATTTATAATAAGTTATCTAACTTGCAAACAGAAGCGACTGCACTGAGGCCGTCACAGCTTATCCGAGGAAAAGCGATGGAAGGGCAGGGGCGGCCCAGTGACCGCGGTGCTGGTCCTAAGAGGCTGTGAATCAGGGACGTGAATTCCCAGCAGCACTAAGATGGCCGGGCACCGGGCGTCTGAAGGGCGTCCTGTCGCCCCTCCTTTCAGGACGCAGGCGCCTCAGAGGCCCGAGCTCCGCTCACGAAGCCGGGCTCGCCCACAAGGATGTCAGCACAGGTTGTGGTCAGGGAGGGTCGTGGACCCCGGGGACCCACCTCACCTGAACTCCCGCTCAGTGGCCCACCTGGTCCCGGAGGACGCAGACGTGGGAGCAGGTGGCCTTGGCCGTGCAGGGTGGGTGCGTGGGGAGGTGCGGAGGAAAGCGTGCCCGACTGGGAACAGGGGACAGGGGCCAGGAACCGGCCGGTGGCTGTGAGGAAACCCCAGCCCAGCGAGCCCCCCGCCCCCGTGCCCCCGAGCCAGCCTCCACTCGAGTCGTCTGCCCAGGTGCCTGGCGTGAAGGTTGCGTGTCCATCGTGCCTCTCATCATCCATGTTTGTGGTCCTTGGGCATCATGGGGACCCTGCTGACCGGGAGGACCGCCCCTCCCAGAGCCAGGAAAGGGCTCCCTGCGTGGAGCCTCCAGGGCAAACCTCCAGCGCCTGACACTCGGGGCCACCCACCCAGACCCCCGAGCTGCGCACCAGGCTGCAAGGGGCTGTGTGTGGGGTGTGTCTCTGTGTGCGTCTCTGTATGTGTCTCTGTGTGTCTCTCTGTGTGTCTCTGTGTGTCTCTGTGTATGTGCATCTGTGTGTATCTCTGTGTTTCTCTGTGTGTCTGTGTCTATATGTGTGTCTCTCTGTGTGTATGTGTCTATGTGTGTGTCTATGTGTGTCTGTGCGTGTGTCTGTGTGTCTGTGCATGTGTATGTGTCTATGTGTGTCCGTGCGTGTGTCTGTGTGGACCAGCCTCCACCCCGTGGCCACGGAACAGCTCGCATTAGTCACTCCTCCGCCTGCTCGGCCTGCCTCTCCGTGCCTCTGGCAGGAAGCCCAGCCAAGGCTCCTGCCCACGCCCCCCTCCACCCCCTGCACAGCCCTGTGCTCCCGCGTGGCCCCGCACGCCTCTGCCTGGAGCGTCGGTAACAGGCTGGCTTTTCAAGGCCATGGCGGCCGACCAGGCCTCTCCAGGCCCGAATGACGATCGAGCCTTTAAAGCAGCTGCCCGCCAGGCCCAGCGTGGCCGACTCCACCGGGCG